AGCATTTCTTTTGATTCTGTCGTCGCTATTCTTGCCAGCAAAAAAGATTCCCAGAAGTCCCTTTTCAGAATTTACGAAGAGCAGTAAATGATAGTCATTTTATCACTTGGCGGCACTTCATTAGGTTACTGCCACAGGGATGAATGCTCTACTGTGTTGGACTACATCACAGCAACGAAAAGATTGCTGTGTTAGTATATCCTTACTTTTTCACATTTTAGTTAATAATTAGTAGTTATTTCTATCACAAACAGAGATGCTTTGACCGCTTTCTCAGTAAGCATTTATTCCAAGTTTTATCTCTAAAGTAGTTTTTAAGTTTGGTTTCAGTTTCATTACTTTAACCACCCGGCTCTTGGCCCTTTGTAGGTGAGCGCCATCCATATGAGATCATCGTCGGGCAGCAGTGATCGAACCAGGTTTCGTTGCGGCCCGTTGCGGCGCCCAGTCTGTGACAAATGCACTGCAGACGAGCTCGAACGACGAGCGGTGACGACGGTGCTTGCGTTCTAGACCTGCGGGCGAGCCCGTGACACGTTGGCCGCAGAGCCTAAAAATCTTAGGCGCAGCAGCGCAACTCCGTGGAAGCCAGTGGCACGTCGGACCACCTCGATGACAGTGTCGTCCGAGTGGTGCGCGACTAGATGCGCTGTGCCAAGGCGGCGTAGATGATTGGATCAGCAGGGGTTATGAGCTAATGTACATCTGTTTATGTATCCACGGCCATGTCTATAAACGTCGTTTCTTTGTCTACGCCCCATTTCTTGTAGGTTGAGTGACTGGGTAACATCCCGCACTATCAGTTGTTTATTTCCTCCTCTTTATAGGTTTTGTACACTTTACTTGGTATACGATCATTTCTTGCAATACCGTCGTCATCAGCAACATCAGCAGCAGCAGCTTGACTAAAGCCACTGCTAGGCAAAGGCCTCTCCCATGGTCCGCAATACCGTATATCGTCGTTTGATAAATTCAAACGCCATCGGAATGCTGCCACAGTTGCGAGTCGAGAACCAGTTTGCCGCGAAGAGATTAGAGCAGTCGAAACCTACCGCAGTGTAACCTTTCGCTCGTCTTTGTGCGTTTAATGAAGCAGGCAACGCTGGCAGGCTATAGTATTTGCGAAGTCTTCTCAAGCTTGTCTTTTGAAGAGGACGCATGAACTAGCAAGTTTTATATCTTTTCATACGTAGTTGCATGCCTCAATATGGCTTCGTTGGACGGCGGAGCGCTCAAGTTCGCGAATGGGAATCGCGAACGCTTAAATCGCCAACAGGAATGCAAACGCCGGTGGTGGGCGGATCCTGCAAACCACGCCGCCGAGTTAGCTCGGGATGTGAACGCTTACAACGTCTTTGCGTGGTCAAACTTGACGATTGTGGAAGTGCGTTCCCCTGGGCCAACGCCCGCTTTCAGCGGGAGTTTCTCCGGCAGCACATTGGCTTCGGCGGCAGTGTTTGTGATCGCGTGTAGTTCGAGAGCAACCACTATGATTGACGCATTTTTGAAACGCATTTAACCGCTCAGTACGGGATTCGCTCGCAGGATTTCAAGCTGGACGGTTGTGCCCTCGCGATCTCCGACTTCAGCGTAGCTCCCGCCGACTGGTTCGCCCTCCGCGGTCTCCTGAAGCCGTGCAGCTCTCGCATTGTGGTGCCCCGCCCTTGGACTGCTTCGACCGGATCCCCACTTTCCTATCTCCTTCTTTTTCCTCTCGTTGGCTGTCTTCTTCTCCGTCTATTTTCATTCTATTCTTTTTATCCCTCCTTCCCCCCAACCCTATAAGGCACTGCGCCGTGTCGCCTGAAGGCAGACAGAAATTACGTGCCTTTTTCCTCTTCATTGTAACCACTACCACCACCGCTCAGTACACTCCTCCATGACTGTAATGGTGCCAGGCACAATGTGCCATACGTGAAATAAACACTGCGGTAAACCCAAGCCAAACGTGTGTTTATAATCTCATTAAAAAGCGCGAAATTGTAACCAATAATTATGTAAGGATTCAGTGCCACGTTAGGTTGAAGCCACGGGTGAACACCGGGCCGCAAGTTTCAGCTTTCGCTAGTTGGTCACAGTGTGCTTGTACATTGTTTTTTAGGAGCGAAGCTCCCTAAGGCGTGGGCTGTGCGTCCCCTGTATGTAGCCACCTCTCGTTCAGTTCTAAGTATTACGCTAGCCACCGCCCGATCTAAAGGGTACAGCCATATCCATCCGTCCATCCGTCCATCCATCCATCCATCCATCCATCCATCCATCCATCCATCCATCCATCCATTCGTCCGTCCGTCCATCCATCCATCCGACCATCCGTCCGTCCGTCCGTCCATCCGTCCGTCCATCCGTCCGTCCGTCCGTCCATCCGTCCGTCCATCCGTCCATCCATCCGTCCGTCCGTCCGTCCGTCCGTCCAAAAGATGCAAGATGTTAAAAAACTAACACGGCGGTACGTGTAGTTGATTATGAAGGATGCGAGGTGTTATAAAATAGGAATGATGCCACATATGGCGCGTGTCATCGTTCTATATAGTGCGGCGACGTACGCTAGGGGGAGCGTTGCAATAAAATCGAGTGGGCAAAATGTACGGAGGATTCATGGTTTACCAGGTTTACCTCCGGAGCTTCGCCCACTCATCATCATTCACTTCGTGGATATGGCCTCATTTTTTTTTAATGCGAAGCAATTTTTAGCGAACTTCGGTGACTTTGAGCGTATCTATCTATCTATCTATCTATCTATCTATATCTATCTATCTATCTATCTATCTATCTATCTATCTATCTATCTATCCGCGCACTTCTAGCTCCTGGCAGTTTCGATAATGGTATCGATACCAATCTCGGTATGGCATAACATGACTGTATAAAGAGCATATTTGACTAGTCATGACATGAAAAATCACGACATGTATGTCTTGAATGTCATTCTTTACATTTCATGGTCCTGCAGCTCATGCGGTGGTTTGGTTCACATGGCACGTTGCAAAACTGGTATGGTATGACATGATTGCATGGCGAACACAAGCGACAGACCCTAAAATGAAGATCATGACATGTGTGTCATGTAACAACATGACTACATGGCACGCTCATGATGCACTTCCGACCATTTTGCTAGCGTAACATACACGAAATTTCGTATTACGGTACGTGAATGGTTGACGAAGGTATGTGACTGGTGCAAACATGATAATCGTTAGGTACGTGTCATGTAACAATATGACTACATGCAACGCTCATGATGCGCTGGTGGCCGTTTCGCTAGCTTCACTTATGCCAAATTTGGTATTATGGGCGTGAGTGGATCATGAAGGTATGATACTGGTGTAAACATGATAAACACGAGATGCGTGTCGTGTAACATGACTACATGCTACGCTCATGATGCGCTCGCGGCCATGTTGCTAGCTTCACATGTACCAAACTCGTATTACGTGACGCGAACGGATTATATAGGTGATTGAGACATCCAAACATGATATTGACATGCGTGTCATGTAACAATATGACTACATTCCACACTCATGATGCGCTCGCGGCCGTTTCGCTAGCTTCACATATGCCAAATTTGGCATTACGTGACGCCATTGGATGACGAAGATGTGTGACTGGTGCAAACATGATAATCATGAGATGCGTGTCATGTGAGAACATGACTACATGCCACAGTCAAGGCACCAATACATTTCGACGCGACGCGATTCGCGTGCTCGCCGGCGTTCATTTTGTCGCCTCACGCCGGCGTTTCGACGACAGGCACCGGTCCTGCCATATACTCGCAGGCGCGCGCTGCGCTGCGTTGCTTAGACGCATGCGCGTTTCAGCGCGTCCAGCGTCCCCCCGTCATGAAAAGAGAGAGATGGAGTGTTGTGTGGGTCAGGGCCAAACCTCATAAGCGCGAAAATGCACCCGACAGCGACGAGCGACGCTATGAGCGACGAAACAGGGCGTTCGCGCGACGTGTCGCGTGCTCGTTTTCGCGCGATCGCTCGGTTCTCCAGATTTGGAAACCGTCGCTCATCACCCGGAAATGCTGGGCTCAAGCAGCCAATAACGAAATACCGGAAAAGACAAAGACTACATAGGTGCACGTGACCCTGCCCAAGTCACGTATGCGCAACAAGAAATAACGCAATGTTTATTACGCATGTGCATATAAAAAAGTGCTGCAAGGCAATAATAAATACTTTCCGTTTCATTACACAACGATATATCTTATTTATAAATTGCATACCGCTCGCTACGCGGTTTTCTTGGTGCGAGTAGACGGCCTCATGCCAGCAACAGTGGAATTCGCTCGCCGAAGCCGTCACGTGAATGAGGTTTGCCTGCGCTAGCGACTGATCGCGCGAAGCCGATCTACGTCGCGTCGCTTGTCGCTGTCGCGTGCATTTTCGCGCTTATGAGGTTTGGCCTTAACGCATCGGCGCGAATTTTGCGCCGGTTGCCATCAGGCCACGTTTTCGGACGCTGGTGGCGTCGTTTGCACCTGGCGTCAGACTATTGAGGCTCGCGTTTCGCTAACGTAGCGTCGCTGTCCCAGCGTGCGCGCACGCCAACGCTACATTGCAGTATATTGGGCCCTTCATGATGCGCTCGCGGCCGTTTTGCTTGCTCCACATACACCAAATTCGGTGTTACGTGACGTCAATGGATGACGAAATATATGACTGGTGCAAACATGATAATCCTGACACGCGTGTCATGCAAGAACACGACAACATACCACGCTAATAGCGTGTTTGTCGCCGTTTCGCTAGCTCCACATATACTAAATTTGTTATCACATGACGTGAATAAACGACGTAGGTAAAGAACACATCCAAACATAATAATCATGACATGGAAGTCATGTACGGCATCATTTATCTCCAACTTGTAACGTTGCGCTGATTTTAAAGTGACTTATCAAGCTTTCTTATTTGTACTTCGCATGTCATCGATACGTGGGATCTGCCAATTTTTCTTATATTTTTTGATGATGAAATTGAGTGCCAAGGTTCGTAAGGAAGAAAACGCCTTTAATTAAAAAACAGGGTGTGATTGAGACTCGTAGGAAGCAAAATAAAAAGGTGGTGTTTGCGCTGTGTGCCACGACAGCCAGAAAGTACGCTTGGAAGTGACATAAAAGATAAACAGCCCCAGTGCCTGTGTTGTTCTCAGGTGCAGGCCACGGGTTATAAGAATAAGAAGTACAAGTGCTATGTTTATACGTGCAGCCGTGCGCAGCTAATGGCACTATGTATAGTAAAAAGGAAGTAAACTGGGTAAATTGTGTCGAGCATATTGCAGTCATGGTGTGTAAAGCCGACAGATTGGCCCAGAGTGATACGAATTAAAACTTCGGACAGCTATATAACGTTGAAATGTCTGGCCACAACGTATGACGTACAACAAGCCTTGAGTGACTGTTGCACCGTTTGTCACGCTTAAGATGGATAGGAGTCTGGGTTTGACCACGAGACAATCGCAGCTTCGACAACTGCATGGGACTGGGCGTGATTAAATGATTCGCAATGAGTGGCAGACACTGCAGCCTAGGCTACCTTATGCTTGAATGGCTATTAGTTGGTTGAAATAATTGGAACAATGCACGCTGCAAGCATGGGGTGTACATTCAGCGGATGGCGTGTGTGCACAGCAGCAAGTGCGACGACGACGCACTCGTTAAAAGGCGAGTCATCCAATGTTGCCAGCTGAGCCACGGTATGTGGGTATCTTGTGAATGATGGCGGCCGCGGTGTAGGGCAGGTCCGGCTCCTGGCTGTCCCAGTGCAGGTCACGCTCCATGCGGGGGAACTTGCCGTACATTTCATCCACCGCCATGTACGAAACCTGCACAGTGCAACGCCGAGGCTACACTCGTATGCCGTCAAGGGAAAAAAAACATCTTTCTCGTATACTGACTCTCACAACCACCACGCTTACCACGACACCTGGTAAGCGAGAAAACGTGGAAAAAAATACATTGCGGTGGAGCCATCTTGACAACCACGAATCTCCGTGATCACTGCGACGGCGTCTTCTAGTACCTACGTAGTTCGCAGTCGGCAAAAATTAAGGAAATGGTCCGCTAAAAAGGCCAGACACTTTATTGTGCCAAGTAATGTGCGTTGGAGAGCTAGTTGGTACGACATTGAAAGTGAAATAAAACTGAAAGAGCCCGTCCTGTCAACTACATGTGTTTCGCCTCCAGCGCAGTTTTTTTTTCACTTTCATTATCGCAACTAAGTTCCATGAATTTCGTTGAGCCAATGTTGCCAAATAAGAAGAAATCACTTTGAAATACGTAGTGCTACGCGCGAGAGAGAGAGAACACAACTTTATTGTCGTCAGACTTAAGGAGGTAGGTGACCCGCCAGGCTGAACCTGATGGCCACCTCCTCTGCCCTTTGTACGGCCTGGAGCTGAACGGCCAGGCTGGTGGAGGTCAGAACTGCCTCCCACCCCTCTGGCGAGGGAGCGGCTAGGAGATCGAGAGAGGGGGGGATCTTCCCTGCAGGCCCAGAGAATGTGATTAAGTGTGGCTATTGAGCCACAATGCGAGCAATGCGGATCAATCGAGTCGGGGTATATACGTGCATAAATGTATGGGCACGGAAATGAATGTGTTTGCAAGCGGCGCCAGATAACCTCCTGGCGCTTAGTTAGCTTATGGTGCGGGGGTGGTTTTGTCTGCCTCGAAAGACGGTAATATTGTGTGATGTCATGGTAGGATGTCAAGGCTTCACCAGGGTTTTCCAAATCAGAGGCGGGTACCACCGCTCGGCTGACGAATCCTCGAGCATATAGGTGGGCCGCCTCGTTCCCTGGGTTCCCCGCGTGAGCCGGCACCCATACCAGCGCAATGGAGGATAGTGCGTCTTCCTCAGCATCTGTAAGGAGACTGGGCAATAGTAAACGCAGAGTTGTGGGGGCCACAATGCCACGTGCGAAGTTGGATATAGCAGCCTTTGAGTCACTGAGTATAGTGGTGAATCCGGATGCTGCTGCTAGCGCTATCGCCGCTTCCTCAGCTTCTGTCGTATTAAGCACACGGACAGAAGCAGCCGCTTTAATTTGAGGTGAATTGGCGTTGTTGCCGGGGGAGAGTGATTACGCTTATTGCATATGCTTTAGTAAACTCTCGGTATTGGGCGGCGTCAACGTACGCAACGGTTGGGTTGGACGCGTACGTTTTTTGCAAGAATTTGGCCCTCGCTTTCCTTCTACCGTCGTGATGGCTGGCCAACATGTTCTTTGGCAGTGGTTTTATGAGGAATTTCTTTCTGATGTTGGGGGGGATGACAGCCGGATCGTTACCCGTAGGAGATACCACATGGTCAATGTTAGCAAGGATCCAACGCCCCGTCCTGCTTCCCTGTAATCGGTGAATTTGCGCCGTAAGATGCGCTTCAAGAAGTTCTTCTAAGGTGTTATGCAGCCCAAGACTGAGGAGGTGCTCTGTCGATGTGTTTCGGGGGAGACCCAATGCCACCTTATACGCTTTGCGTAAGAGCCGATTTAGTTGGGCTCGCTCAGATTGAAGGAGGTGCAAATAAGGGAGGGCGTACGTGAAGCGCGACAAAACGAAGGCTTGAATTATCTGTAGCAGTTCTTTCTCCTTCATGCCTCGATTGCGAGCGCTCACTCGAGATATAAGATGGGCCGTCTGGTTCACGGTTACGGTGAGACGGTCTAGCGTAATGTTGTTGTGGTGGTTTGTTTGCACAATGAGTCCGAGTACTCTCATGTGGGCCACCTGCTTAATTGGCGTGTCATTGACATACACGTTAATACTAGGAAGTGGAGTCTTAATTTTGCGGCGATCTGGAGGTCGCAGTAATAGTAGCTCCGATTTGCTCTGGGAACACTCCAAACCCGCTTCTGACACGTGCTGAACGACTACGTCGGTTGCTCTTTGAAGAGTCTCCTCGATTTGACCATCGGATCCCACCGTCGTCCAGAGCGTGATGTCATCTGCGTAGAGGGTGTATCGCAGGCCGGGTATCGTGTCAAGTTTGGTAGGTAGTGACCTCATAGCGAGGTTGAAAAGGAAAGGGGACAAAACAGCTCCCTGCGGGGTGCCGCGATCACCGAGTGTGATGAGCTTAGAACGAAGGTCACCCACTGAGAGTTCAACCGTTCGATTAGATAAGAAAGCACGTAGAATATACTTTTACAGCGCAAACATAAAACGATCCACAAAGAAAGCGACGACACACACCAGCGTGTGTGGTGTGTGTCGTCGCTTTCTTTGTGGATCGTTTTATGTTTGCGCTGTAAAAGTATATTCTATGGCTATGAACCAACTAGGCCCAAAAGAAGTTTTACTTAAGAAAGCACGGACGTAGTTAAATATGCGTTCCCCGGATCGTAGTTCGGACAGACTGCCTAAAATGGCACTATGCTTCACGTTGTCAAATGCTTTGTGAAGGTCCAGACCGAGCAAAGCCTTGGTACTAGTGCCACTCTCAGGTCGTAGGAGATCGTGATGCAACTGGATGAGCGCATCCTGAGTGGATAGATGGGCCCTGAAGCCCAGCATTGTGGGGGGAAGTAGGCGGTGCTCTTCCGCGAAATTTTGCAAGCGACAGAGGACAACATGCTCCATTAGTTTGCCCAGGCAGGAGGTCAACGAGATTGGACGAAGATTCTCCAGGTCGAGTTTCTTGCCCGGTTTCGGTATAAACGCGACCCTTGCGTGTTTCCATTCTGATGGCAAATGGCCGGACCTCCAGCACTCATTCATATATTCAGTAATGGCCCCTACCGACTTTGGATCGAGGTTGCGCAGCGTCTTATTTGTCACCCCGTCAGGACCGGGTGCCGATGTTGTACGCAGTTTATGTAGCGCTATGCAAACCTCACTTTCCGAAATGTCGGCGTCCAACTGTTCGTTGGCTGTTCCAGTGTATTCAGGCAACTGCTCTGTGCTGTTCTGTTTCTGAGATGTGTTGATGTAGCGGGTGATGAGCTCCTCCAGCAGCTCTTCGTTGGTGCCCGGGTATTGATGGACAATTCGCGCGAGCTGTTTGCGTGCGGCCGACTTGGAGCTACCAGGGTCCAGCAGGTGTCGCAGAAGATGCCACGTTTTCTTGCAGCCCATCTGGCCATTGAGGCTGCCGCAAAGTTGGCCCCACTGTTGGCGTGTTAGCACAGCGGTGTGGGCTTCTAATTCACGTTCGAGCCTCGAGATGCGGCGGCGGAGCCTTGTGTTGTGACGTTGGCGCCGCCACCTACGCATGAGGCTTTCATGCGCCTCCCACATATGTAGAAGGCGTGAATCTGTTGATGGCTGTTCCGGAGTTACGTCTGCTTGGTATGTTGTAGCGTCCACATCTCGACTCAAAGAAAGTATCCATTCGTTCAAGTCCAATACCGAATCGGGTGCCGTTTCTTTGCGCAGTTGGCGGAATTTATCCCAGTCTGTAATGCGAGCTGTGGCTCGTTTTTTTACATTGCTTGTGGTTAACTCAATGGTTACCGCTAGAATGAAATGGTCACTTCCTACGGTGTGACCTGTGTTTTGCCAACGGGCACCCTCCGTGTTTTTGCAAGGGAGAGGTCTGGGGTAGTATCTCGACATACGCTGTTCCCGATTCGCGTCGATTGCTCCGGATCATTGAGGATACTGAAACCTAGGTCGTGTATGATGCTCCATAATCGGCGACCCTTGGGGTTGGATTTCGGTATCCCCATTCGGGATGTTTTGCGTTAAAATCGCCTAGTACGAGCAGCTTTGCATCCTTCGCCAGATTTGTTGCTTTCCGAAAGATGTAAGGTAGATCCGCAGCTGTATCTCTTGGAGGGCTGTATATATTTAAAATGAAGAGTGGCTTGTCTCCTCGTCTTTTTGGTATAATTTCCACCAGTGTGTGATGAATACTCGTACCCTCAATTTCATGTTGAATGGCTGTGACATTCTTGTGTACTAAGATGGCAGTGTGGCATTGTGCGCTCGCGGATATGTCTATTTTCTGATTATATGATGCGTATCCGGGCAGTTGAGCGGCAGTGTTCGTTTCTTGTAAAACTATGATGTCCGGCGAACATTCCCCATTTGGTGCATGGTTTTGAATATGCTGGATATGTTGCTGCAGATGGCCCTTCTTATTGCGGAAGCTCCTGCAGTTCCACTGCCAGACGGTGAGCGTGTGGAGAGCCGCCATGACTATGTTATTGGCGTAGGGGCCGGTGTTTGCCGGCTATTGGATGGTGTGCGGTGGATGGCCAACTGCACACTGAAGTCGGCCAGTGCAGCTTCGGTCGAGCTCTTTAACACGGCGAATGAGGTGGTTGTTTCCCGGATGGTTTGGTGGATCGCATTAAAGCGCGTTTCTATTTCAGCGTTCAGATCGGATTTCAGCGTTGAGATGGCTGCCGTGACTGCCGTCGTTACTTTTGTAGTGATGTCGGCGTCTGCGTGGAGTGAAGCTGTGGGTGTAGCTGCCTTGCGTTTATTAGCGTTCTGAAGTTGAGGAACTGGCGATAACGCCGGGTTTGGTGCCAGGGGGTTCGGATGTGCGTCTTGTGTTTCGGATGATGTGGGTGTAGTTTGTTTGTCGATACTGAGTGCTCTATCTATTTGGCTTCTAGAGACTGGATGTAGCTAGTCAATTTAGCTATCTGGGACTGCTGGGCCGAGATTTGAGCCTTAAGGGCAGAATTCTCCTTTGCCAACTCCCTCACCTGTGAATCGGAAAATAGTAGTGATGCCGGGGCGCCCCGCTGCCAGGCCACCGACTTGGACGCTTCTCCGGGACCTCGACTGGATGAACGAGACACCGATGGGCTGCGCCTGGCTGATTTGGACCTTGAGTGAGATGAGGGCCTGCTGTCTCGTCGTTGGGCTG